ACTTAAAACCCTAATTTTTTTAGTTATTCCTTTAAAACCCGTGATGATCCCGGATAGTTCTGATCCCTTTAAAAATTACGACAACTAGTAAATGATAAAATGGGTCCCTACTATACTATGATCGAGCCCACTAACTCTGTTAACATCTAAAATCATATTGATTCTGAAAGTTTTTCAGATTGAAAAATAGGGTTTAATTTCTTAAAATCTATTTATTAAGATTTTAAATAAACGATAAAGTTTGCAAATATTTTTTATTACTTTTGGTATGCCAAAACACATTTTCTTCTGTAAAAATTAAAATACTAATTCTTCTTTAAATTTTTTTACCCAATTATGTATGACGTAATTATCTATGTTAGGCTCAAATTTCCAGTCTTATAAAATATTAGTTCAAATTATAATTGGAGTGACCTAACGTTCCCCTGTCCTCAATGTACCCCGGGCTCTCCTATTTTGTTTTATATATAAATTTAAAAAGAAATTATCATTAAATAAGTCTAGTTTGTTAGTAAAAAGGTAAAACGATCTATCCAAATAAAGATTATAAAATTTAGTTTTTAAATTCTAATAAAAAATATGCTTTAACCAATAACACGATCACGACATTTTCTTTGTTTTGAGGGTTAAAGTAAATTACCTTAAAATATTTTATTTATCAATTATTACTGTTCATGTAAAGTAACGTCAAAAAAGTAACATGTTACTGGTGTTATATTATTGAAAAAAAGGAACGCCATTTGTTACCTTCTTCTAGAGGTAACGAGTAACAGTAACACGTTTCTTTTCTTTGAGTGACTGTAACGCAAAACGTTACTCGTTACTTTAAATTTTTTCTTAAAAAATATGAGGATCTGAATGAAAATTATTTTAAAGATGATCTATTTAAGCTTGATTCAAAATAAAGATTATTCTTTAATTTTAATAAATTCCTCCAATTAAAATTTATATTTATTAGCCCTTCCACTACAAAACAAAGGTGAAAAAACTACCTTAACTACAAAGGTGGGGTCTATTTTACCCCAAATTTTGAATATATATTAGAAAAATCTTAGATTTATATTTATTTCCAAAAAAGTTTTGCTAATTTTCCTAAAGTTGCTGATTTTATTTTTATTTTTGGGACCTTCCTTTAATTATAGATTACCACAAAAAAAAAATTAAAATGCAAATTTTATTATATATTTTATTAAATCAATGTTGAATAATGATAATTACATAAATTTTATAAAAAAAACATCAAAAAAAGATGGGACCTAGACTACCCCAATTGCAAATGTTTTAAAAAATATCAAATCAAATAATCTTGATATTGGTAGAAATATTAAAATGCTATAAAAACCAGGCCAAAATATCTTCGGTTTTTTTATTATCAAGATTATATACGTCGTTGGGTATTATTTACCCCACCTTTGTAATGAAGGATTAAATATAATACAACCCTCCCCCATCCTCGGTTCCAGTTAAACGTGTGTTTAACACGGCGAAAGATGTGTTGATCAAAACTTTGCAAATCAATTGTTAAAAATTTATTATAAAATTATCTTATCTTATAAAATATTACTTTTGTATAATTTTATTTATATTATATATATATATAAGAAAAAATTAGATTTCATCTTGTAATATATTATTTATGTTTATATTATATATAGGAAATTTTTGTATAAAATATTTAAATTTGCAAGTAACGGGTAACGCGTTCTCTTTTTTTGACATAACGAAATGTGTTTCTTTTTTGAAGTAACGTTTACATCACGAATTATTACTATCTTTTAAATAGAGATTTTCAAAGTTCAATTTCTAATTTATATACAGAAAATTTTAAATCTGATTTTTAATGTGGTTTAAAGAAACAAATTTATAAATTCTCTTAATTAAAATTTGGCCTAGCGAAATAATCTGCTTGGATAACGAAGTCAATGTCGTTTAAGAAACTTTATAAATTCTCTTAATTAAAATGTGGTTTCTCTAAAAAGTTTCTTTAGATAACAAAAATTAGATTAATTGGGTTACTTTCTATAATAAATAAAGCCAGTCTATTATAAAAAAAAGTATTAATTAAAACTCTAAGTATAAAATATTACTTATTTTGAAAAATACCAAAAAAAACAACTATTAGTTCAAAATTGAGCGTTTGCGTTTGGTGCTATGCAGTTTATAAAAAAACATTTGAAGGAAAATCATCCAAGTAATGGAAATGCTACAATTCTAATATGCTCTATTTTAATAAAGAAAGAGTTATTTCAAGTAAATCTGAAATCGAAGGATATTCCATCTATGATTGTGCAGAGCCTTGAAAATTATAACTTTTCGCTATCAAATTTAACAACTTTTTGTTCCGATAACGCAAGTGTGAATTTCAAAATAAAGGCAAAGTGTAATGTCGGAATTATTAGTTTTGAATAGGGCTGTGCCGATATTAAATATCGGATCGGATCGGTCCCGATATTTGGCGTTTTTCAAAAATATCGGATCGGCCCGATACCTGTAAAAAACCCGATCCGATCCTTTTACTAAAAATGCAATTCTTATAAAACTTTTGAGTAATGAAACTTTGAATTATTATTTTTTAATAAAAAAATTTTTTTTTAAATATTTTAAAAAAAAATAAATTTTTTCGAGTTTCTATTTTACATTAATAATATTTTATAAATAATTTTTTTTTAAACAATGCAAATGTTATTTATTTTTTTAAATAGATTTTACAAGTTTTTTTATAAAAATAGAAAGGAACACCAAAAGTTTTATTTATTTTTAATTTTTTAAAAAAATAACACCATATATAGAAAGTATGACAATATATTTTTAAAATTAAATTAAATATTGCTTGGTTGGGCTATGATTGACCCATTTGTTTGGGTGATTTTTCAAAATCAACAAAAGATTGGGTTTGTATGAAACCCACTATTTTATAAATGCTAATTTTATATTTGTGTTATTTATTTAGAAAACTCGAATAACATTGATGATATTAATATTATATCCCCAGTGAATCCACTTGAATATTGGAGAGTTAATGCTGTAAAATTTCCTGCATAAAAAATATTGATTTATTAATTACATTTGGTTCAAAGAGGGGTGGTAAAAAATTAATATAAATATCGGTATCGGATCGGTTTTGAACCAATATCGGATCGGATCGGTAAAAAATATGTGGATCGGCACAGCCCTAGTTTTGAATGAAAATATTATCCCCATTGGTTGCTGTGCTATGTAATTCACAATCTAGGAAGAAAGGGGCATGCTTCAAAAAATAGACAAATGATTGCTATGAAATGTTTCCTGAATTCAGCAGGTCCACAAACAGGGTATCTTGTTTAAAAAAAAATTGGATTCTCAAGATATTGAAATGGTCCTTTTTTCTACAAATTGTTTCAACAAGAAGGCTCTCATTAATACAAGCTCTCGAAAGACTTAGTAAAAATTATTTAGCTGTTAAATCTTATTTTTTTATCCCAAAAAAATCCCAATTCAATATTAAAATTATTTTTTTAAAATACATTGGCTAATTGGGCCTAGTTATTTATGTAGGAACGACTTCAACATAATTAAAAAATTGAAATCCCAAAATTCATAGTGATTAGTTTCAACTTTAAAAGCCCAAGTTATTAATAACTTTTATGGCTCGGTTATAGGACAAAATTTTATAAATTATAATGATCCATTTAAAATCCCATCATTTTAAAATGAAGCAAATAAATTCATTAAAACAAATATTTCTTAATTAGAAAAAAAATATGAATTTAAAAAATGATAAATGGGAAAATCTAATTATTATGAAGCTCGAATTTTAATATAAAATATATCAAATTAGATGAATTATTTCAGGAATTCGTTGCTATACATTTATTGAACAAAATATGTACATATCGAATTTGGCTCATGAAAACAATTGAGTACTTTTTTTCAAATATTGCGCCAAATTTTGAAAAAATATCCAGTATCATATTCTCATTACCTCATTCAAACTCTGATTCACAGCGCATATTTGGTTTAATGAAAAATTTCTGAGGGGATAATCGTAATCGGTTATCTTTATCTGCCTTAGAAGCAGAATTGATGATCAAACATAATTTTAATTATACTTGTAAAGATTTTAAGGAATATGTAACAAAAAATAAAAATTTAATTAATAACAGAATCATTTGAAAAATATAAATAAAAATATATACTATTTTTTAGATAATATCTATTAATTTTATATTAAAAAATAATAATATACCATCTATCTTCCTTTATTTTACGGTTGCTTATTAGATATATTCATTTAAAAAAGCAATCACCTGAAAAAAATTAATATTATTTGTTATAAAAAAAATTTTTTGAATTATGTTTAGCTTTTTATTTGAATGAATTTGGCAACCCTGGTTATATCGCATCGGGATTTTTTTCCAGGTGATCTAGTTTGGAAATATTTGTCACATATTAAATTTCAGAAGTGATATCAATAAATCATGTTTTATTGTATATTATTTTAGAATTTTGTTCATTTTGGGTTATTTCTTAAAACGTACTAATAAATAATAAATTTTAAGGGGAATTCAAAAAAAACTTTTGAGTTGGGTCGGGTTGGAATGTTTTATTCCTTTCTGGTCAGGTTTATTTCGGAAATTTTTGTTCATGCAGATCTCTATAACGTTATTGGTAATTATTTCGCTAAAAGATGCATTCGTAAATATCTCTTCACTAAAAAAAAGTTTGTAGTAATGACGTGATACTAATATCTGAATTTTATTATTATTAGTCAATTATTTTATTTATTTTTTTTAAATATATATTTACTTTTTTTGTTTTAACATATATCGAATGCATATTTATATTGTAATGGTTAGTGTTGTTAAATAGTCGAGTTCTTACAACTAAGTCTTAGTCGAATAACCCGACCAAAAACTCGAGTAGGAGTCTGAGATTTGACCAAAAATTCAACTGAGTCATGTTTTAGTCGTTTAACAACAGCATAATATAAAATTTTTAATAAGTAAATATGTTTTATTTAGATTATTAAAAATCAAGATGTTGCAAGTAGTCATATTTCAGAAAAAGAAAACAAGTCACAAAACAAATTTTTAGAAACATTAATTTTTGATATACAATTGTACGTCTCAACGCTATAAGACTTAATATGTCCAATTTATGTAAAAAAAATCGTGTACTAATTAAATCAATTATATAATAATTTTTAAATTTATCAACCAATTAATTAACTGTTGTTCTGATTTCAAAAAAAGTAGTGGACCAAAGGCTACCATTTTCTTTTCAAATTATTTTATATAATTGTCGACTGAGGTTTGTAGTGCTACCATTCCAACTGTACGGGAGAGCATTTTTAAAATTTACTTGTCATATTTTTATTTTCCAAACTATTATAGCATTCTTAGAAAACTGCTTTTATAATTTTTAAAGCTGAATGCTATAACTTTTATCATTTTTCCGAATCTGTTCAACGGTTGTAGAACATGTTATGCTAAATATTATTAAGAAAACTTTCTAGTGCAATTTCGCTTATGTCATCAGCCTCATCCATCTCTGTTTCAAATTTTTTTAAATTTAGAATAGTATCTAGACTAGAGGTTTGCAATGTGCATGTTTTTAGCCCGCAAGCTCGCCCGTCAAATATTTTTAAAAAATTTAACCTGCCTGCCTCACCCGCCCATAGTTTTTAAATAAATATACCCGCCCGCCCTTTAGTCTAAAAAACATTTCCCGCTGCCCATTATTTACACGCCGCCCATATAAAGTCTAATAAAAAAAATTATTTAGTATCAGTGCCACATTATTACAGAAAAAGTTAAATTGATTTATAAGCATAAAAAAATATTCAATTTAAATTACGGATAAGGAATTTATTTGATCTAATAAAATATTTATATAATATAAAATTAATATTTATTGATACTAAAAACCTTTCAGCAATGCTAGTTACTGGTTTGAAATTGCCATTATTTTTCTAGCTAATTTTGATAGCTTTAATAAATCTTTTTCTTGTAAGAGAGATATTTAAATAAAAAGTGAAACCAATAATAATAAATAAAATTTAATTATTGTTTATATAAATTGTAAACTTAAACTAAATTAAGTAGCCTAAAATCTTGCTAAATTATTCAAAAACTCGTTATTTTAAGATTTAAATATTTTGTTATGTTATTAGGAAATGCTCTCTACTGTATCAGCCACATATTTCCATATGTTGTTTAATTTTGACAAGTATGCTATCTATTTCAAATATTGCATTTATAATTTAATAATTCTTTGCTTTTGGGGAACGGGTATCAAATTTTCATCCACATTGATGTTATATTCTCCCTGCGAATTAAATCCAACATGTTTTCGATATATTTTTTACCTAATTAATTTCTTCCGACTACAACATCCTCAGTTATCGGTACTTTGGTATTAAATATGTTGAAATTTCAGGGAGCCTATTTTTTTTAATGTTTACTTAAATGATTTTAAATAAAACCCACCCACCAATATTTTAAATTAGAGGTCTGCACGTGGGTTATTAGCTAATAATCCCGCCCATTCAATGTTTTTAAAAATTTAACCCGCCCGCCTAGCCCACTCATAGTTTTCAAAAATTCCTGCCCGGCCATTAATCTAAAAAATATTTTACCCGCCCACCCATTATTTATAAGATATTTTAACCCAATCCCTTATTATAAAATTTTATTATGGCCATTCTTTCAATTTTTTAAGTTTATTAAAAAATTCAGTTTCAGCATTACACTTCTACAACAAGTTTTATAATTTAAAATAAAACAGAAATATTTATTATTTCCAAAAAAGGAAATTTTAATTTTCAATACACAAAAAAGTTAATTTTTTTAAGAAAAAAGTTTTATTATATTAGGAAATTTTAATTTTTAATATACAAAAATAATTATTTATTTTCAGAAATAAGTTTTATGATGCCAAAAATGGACATTTTAATTTATAATATAAAAAATCAGAGACCTACAGGCCCGGCCCGGCCCTAAATTTTTTAAATATACCCGGGCCGGGCCTAAAAAAATATTTTTAAAATATATCCGGGCCGGGGCTAAAAAAATTTTTTTTAATATATCCGAGCCGGGCCTAAGATTGTTAAACCCGGGCCGGGCCTTAATATTTTTTATAAAAATTTTTACATTATGAGTTAATGGTTATAAGATTATATTATAGTTATGATTAATATAATATTGGGTGATGGTTAACACACCTAACACCCACAGATCGATCTAATTATTAATTTCCTGCAAATTTATTCAAAGTATTAATATATTTTTTTATAATTCATATCTAAATTTTTACAACATATTTTACCAAAACAATCAAATAAAAGAATATCTTAAATAAGCCCCAATATTCAAGTATTAATAATATATTTTTTATAATTCATATCTAAATTTTTAGAATATTTACCAAAACAATCAAATAAAGGAATATCATGGCACAAATTACTAATGATATAATTAATAAAATTAAAAATAATATTTATTCTTTTAGAAATACAAATAATAATTTAAAATCTGAAATATGGGCTAAATTTAACATCATCATAGATGAAAATAAAAAAAACATTGGCTACGTACAATGTAAGAATTGTTCAAGTATATTATCTTATAATTATAAACATGGTACACAGTAGCGTACGCAGGAATTTGGTGTGTGGGGGGGGGGGGGGATAATTAGAATTTTTTAAAATAAAATTATTGTTATTTAAAAATATCAAGCATAAATTTATTAGGACTAATAACTATTTCTAATATACAAATTTAAATTAATATGAATTATAAAAAATTAAATATATAAACCGATATATAAAAATAAATTTGATTTAAAAAATATTAAACGAATATAACCGGCGGCATATAAATACTTTAAATAAATCTGAATTATAAAATATTAAGTAGATATAACCAGGATATGATGACTATAAAATAAATAATCCATAATAGAAATTTAAATTTTTTTGAGCTTTTAAAATTTATATATAAAGCATAAAAAATCTAAATGTTGAAAATATGAATAATTATATTTTTTATGTAAAAGAAAAATATTTAAGACATTAAAAAATGATAGCACAAAAAATATTATAGAAACATTATATTTTTATAATGTAAAATCAAATCTTCGTTGGGAGGGAGCTAATTTTTCAATTATCTCATCCGTGTTTGGCGTCAAATGCGTATGAATATTCAAAAGGGCCAGATCATTCAACCTACTTTCAGAAGTTGTACTTCTTATGTACGTTTTTAATCTTCTTAAAGAAGAGAATGTTCTCTCATTAGTTGCAATACTAATGGGAAGAGTTGCTAATATATATAATAATTTCAGTATATTAGGAAAATAATCTAAAAGATGTTTGAAATGATGCAAAGCATAGCATTTTTTGGGACTATATCAACCATAGTTAATCTTTTATACCATAGTTGGCATTCAACTAATAAAGCATCATGAAATACATTAATGTCTTCATGATAAAAATCTTTCAAATATTTTATTTTTTTTCTATCACCATCTGAAAAAGGTTCAGAGGGCTTTTGCGGAAGTAATATCTGCAGATTGATAAGTGTTTCTTGATAAATTAAAAACCTTTCATTTACTTGGGTTATAAATGTATCCAAAAGAGGTATAAAGACATTTATTTTATAATATTCTTCTATTGACCCTATATTAATATTTGGACGATAAGTTTGCCTTACTGTAAGTCGAGGGAGACGAATACTGAACTCGTATAGCTCTGCTTTTGATTCAACATTAACATATAAAATATGAAATTCCTCATCAGCATTAGCTCTAATTTCTTTGAGTTTTAATAAAATTGTCTCTGCTATTCTCATCATCTCAATCAAATCAATATCAGGTTTTTGAAAAGTATTACATAAAATAGTTGTATAATTAAATAATTTATTAATAAATTCTAATGCGAAAAAAAAATTTGGTATAAGTATTGAATCCAGTAACTTGCTTGCTTCTGAAGAAATATCTTTTTCAGACATTGTGATATTTCTATAAGAGCATTAATAATCGGCTCTTCTAACTCGATAAAAGCTGTTACTGCTTGATGTCGAAGACTCCATCTTGTTGGACAAGCTTTTTGCAATTTTTTTCTCCTTGTTGGGCAAGGAGTTTCAGATATCATTCTGTTCAAAATATTTTGACGCTTGGGGTATCTAAACATCTCATAGATGCTAGATATTTTACCTGATATAAATATAAAAAATTTAATTTAATAATTAAAAACCTAAGCAATTTGATATCAATGGTAAAGAACATGAATCCGATATTGCTAAGTTGAGTGAATGGGCAGCACAGTGGACATATATAGCTGTTGGGCATTTTTTTTAATAAATGCCTGAAGCCCATTGAATTGTCCACTCATTGCACGTGCTCCATCATACCCTTGCCCATGTATCATATTTATATTTAGCTATATTTTTTAAAATAATTATATAATAAGATTAATTATTACTTTTAATTTTTTAAGATTCACAAATATTACATCAGCTAAAGCAGACCCAGTCATGCTTGAAACAGGAATAAATTGGAGAAGCATTTCCTTGATAATGTTTTTATGAGTATCTACATATCGCGCACACAACGACATCTGCTCAATGCCAGCAATGTCCGTAGTCTCATCTGCCAAAATTGAGAAGCATGGGGCAAAATTGATTTCAACAATCAATTTTTCTAAAATGATATTGTTGCAAATATCAATTATCTCATTTTATATCCTAGGGCTGAGATAAGTAGCATTTTTATTGGTACTAATGAGGCTCTCCATTAATACAGGATCTCCTAATGCTTTAAATTTTAAAAGTCCACGGAAATTACCTTCGTTATCATTATTATTAAAATTTAAGCTTCCTGAATCCTTGTGGCCAAGAAGTGCTAGGCCTTGCAAGCCACAATATAAAATAGCCTCAATAGTTAGTTTTATCTTGCCTCTATTTTCTTTTGCAATTTTAATCCTATTTTTATCAATTATTGATGAAATGGGAATCATAACCCCCTTTTGAATTGATTCTTTTGAGGAAATCGTCAGTTCACAGCTTTTGTTTATTAAATTATCATACTATACTTTTTTGCTTTTTGGCATGATTTTCACCTTCAGCGTTTTTTAAAAAAAGTCTAATATCCATGACTAGAAATTTGAAAATTATAATACCGGGAAATTTAAAAATAATAGATAAATATTACGCCACTAGGAAAACTTGAAAATGAAATTAATTGATAAAGTAAATTAGTAAATGAAAAAGGTAATAATATAAAAATTTAAAAAGAAATAGATATGAATAATTATAATAAAATTTAAAATATAAAAAATTATATGTCCGGCATCTGCATTTTGGCTTGATGGGGGGAGGGGGGTTTGCCCCCCCTATCGCTGCGTACGTCAATGATGGTGCATCACATCTAAAAAGACATAAATGTGATGGTAAATTCATGAAAATTAATAAAAAAATTTTACACCTGAAAAACCAACCTTAAATGTAATATAAAATATTTAAAAATTATGCAATTAGATTATATTTTCAAAATACTATTTATTATACATGCATTTTTTTAAATAGCGATTTATTTTTATTTTATAAATTAAATAGATTAAATACAATATATTATATAAATTAAATATTAGTTTTATTTTTTTTAAATGCAATATAAAATATAGTATATGCTCAAAATATTATTACCATTTTTATGAATATTAGTTTTATTTTTATAAATGCAAAAAATA